GTATGTATCACTGCACTGTTAACACCCCAAAAAATCTGCAAGCATTATGTGCATGGACCGTGTTGTATGGATATGCTTGCAGAGAACTTGGCATTCAAGAACCATGTGACTGCACTGCATATTAGCAAGTTGCACTGTGTGAGCAGCCTACTACAGAGGTACACAATCCTTTAAATTGCCAATTTACCCTATAAAGGTAAATGTAAGAGCATTTGATCTTCATCTCCTGCCTGCAGTTAAGCTTGATATATTCCTATTCTCTCTGTGGACAGGAGGGGGCACTGAAACAGAACCACACATCCTTGGATTCTTGCTTTGTCTCCACCCACTCACACAAGATGTACCAGCAGTTCAGAATTTTTCCTCAACACACCACCTTTTCACCTCATTTATGCTTCACCTGTGTCTAGTGCCAGCTGCCCTCCTCTCCCCACTCAACAGCAGAGGGAATAATTTGTCTGCACACTGTTCTTGCCTTCCCAGATGCAACATTAATGTTCATTAGCACACCCTGCTGAGTGGCCTTCTACTCACCAGGATCTCATCCTGCAAAGGGGAACCATAGCAACAGCAGCAGAGCAGAGAGCAGGAGAGGAGCAAAGAGAGGAGAAATTGTTACTAGGAAAGCTGGAGCAGGAGGACAGAGGCTCAAAAATAAAATAAGTTGGAAGCTGGTACCAAATAATTTACCCCAGGTATTAACAAAAGCAACCCCCATCCCAAAATAAAGTCTGCTAATGGGAACGGCAAAGCGCTTTACAGGTAGATCCAGAGTTTTCCCTTTGCACTCTTTTACAGTCAGCTCTTCTGTAAGACATACTGCAGAGGATGGGATCTCATGAGATGGATGGTTGGCCAGCCCAACCTGCTGACCTACCCGCCTGCCAACAGCACTGAAACAGTCTGCATGTTCAATGCAGGGGAAGGTTGGTCAGAGATGTTATAAAGACGATGCATGTCAAGAGTGAGTGTCTTTTAAAAGACTAAGCAAAAGCATTTGCTTCCATTCTCTACAAAGCTGCTTATAAGGCTTTGTTTCTACAAGATCTTTTTGTCTAGACAGCCTTGCCACATCCCCAGCAAATCTGGGAGAAAGTGTCATTGGCCCCTTTTTAATTGTATGTAAACTCCTTACAGATCCTGAAGGAATAACGGAACTCTTCCCCTCCACTGCTGTCTTCTCCCATGTGCTCTCTCTCATACATACCTAGTGCCACCATGGCTATCATCACCCTTTATCTCCCTGTACAAAGGTTTAAGTATTTCGAGTGAAGCTTTCCAGAAGAGAGTCCATGAACTCTCTTGAAACCCCTTTCCAGAAAGTAGATACCACTGATGGGAAAGACAACTAGAAAAGACAATTCTGTACTGTAACAGTTCAGACCCAGTGTTCTGTACCCCCCATCTTACCAGAAGAATTAGCACAAATAGTGAAGGGGCTGAACAAACAGGGTTTTACACAACATTAATAGGGACTTCTATCAGAAAAGCAAGACCAGATCTTGATTATCAAGCATCCATTTGCCTCTACAACACTTCCCCACCATTGCTGCTACATGCTCAGTTCTTCCCGACTGCAGTGAGCCTAAAGCATTATCTTCCAGGTATAAACAGATTTTGATGAGTAAAAAAACCCAAACCAACAAAAGAACAACTTAAAAGCACTGCTGCATCCAGCCCAGCTGCATCCAGCCCAGCACTTGTCCACCTGGTAGTTTCCAGGTAGCAATCATGTCCTTCTTGCAGCAGTGAAGGAGATGGAACTTGGCCTACCTGGTTGCCAGCTGCTTTCTTCTTGCTCATCTGGCTGCTCCTCTGCTGAGCACTGCAAACAACAGCAGAGACATTCAAAACCCCTCAGGCTCTTCTTTATCATCTGAATCCTGCTCCCATCAGATAGTGTACATTCATGTCTCTCACCACTGGCTTCCAAACCCTGATAACCCAGCCTATTTCCACCTGCATTCTCAACCTGGTCTACTAATCTTCTCACTCCCACCTGAACCACACTTGGGTCACTAACCCTCCACAGGGGTTTTTCCCCTACCTGACACAACCCTAATACTCTAAACTCACCCTTTTACAGATCCCTATTCTCCTCCCCAGCCCTGCAATACAGAGTCACTGAAACACAAGCAATACTGAGAGCTGAACCATACTTTGGGACCTCAGCACGTGCACCAGGACCTTTGCAACCCATTTACTGGAGCAGCTATAGGACAGAGCCACAGGAAACACATGCAGAGAAGAGGCAATAGGATGTGAGTGCTTACTTGGCAAAGCCAATGAAATCCTCATGGTTTGTGTTCATGTAAGCCAGCTCGATGTCTATTAGAAGCATGACCTGCCAAACAGGGGCACAAACAGAGCAAGACAGACATTAGTGATTGACACTGCTAATAGTCAGGGATAGAGCCCTTGTATGTTGTTCATCTGATCAGCCCTTGCAGCCACACATCCCTTGACTCAGGCCCTAGACTGTCCCTTCAAAGTGTCCCCCACCCCACCCGATCTCCCCCTCTTACACACACGCCTGATCCCCTACCTGATCTTTGGTCCTGCCTTCTCTCTCACGGATGTGAGTAGTAACAATCCTCTCCATCTCCTCACGCAGATGAGGGTACTGGCTGAGCTGCAGGAGAGAGGAAACACGTGCACATGGGAAAGGGAGGTATAAAGGGGGGAGTGACCCCCCACATGTACACATGCATACATACACCCTGCAATCAGATATTTTCAAGGGAAGTTCTAGAAAGCTGGACTTGCAGACAGATTTTTCCAAGTTCCTGGAGGTCTGCTGGGGGCAAAGTTAACTCCCTTTTGCTTTCAGCTTCAGAGAAGAGTCCTGTTCACTCTTGCAGCAACCTTTCTGCCTCACCAGAGACCTACTCCAAACCCACTACATTCTTCCTGGTATGTGGCTCTGTACAAACCCCAGACAAACACACTACTTATTGCTTGTTTTTCCCATTAAAGTGAACGATTTCTCAAAATGCTCAACATCTCACTTTAGTAGGCCAAGTAGGTGAATGATCTGTTGCTACAACCTGCTAAGTCCTATGGGAAGTCTCCCTGGGAAGTGGATTTCAATGCCCATTTGCTGAGGCATTAAGTGAAAGCATCTGGTCCTCTCCAACAACTGCAGAGACAGAATCTGACCAACTCAAGCGGATATGTCTTCAAGAAACGCTGTGCTCTAGGCATCCAACTGCTTCTACCTGCTCTCCAGCTGTGCTGGGGCAGGATTACATAGCGAGGTCTATTATTCACATTATAGCTACACCACTCTTTTTGCCATGCTCCTGAGGAGGCAATCCTTTTCTGCCCATGCAGAGAAGTAGGACTTTACTAGCTGTGGCTCAGAAGGAAAGTGTCTACAGAGATCATACATGAGAAACCCTTCCAAAATGAGCATTCTTAAAGCCCTCAGTTTCACACAGCACCTATCTACTTGCCTAGATTCATAAGCCTCTAGTGATTTCAACAGCAGTAACTGTAAGCTTCTCAGGTCAGGCCCAGCATAGTCAAATGAAATTAATCCTCCAGACCCAGGACCTAGCTCTTTCTTCCCCACTTTGCATATCTCCTGTGAAACAGTCCCGTCCCCTCCCCCTTTTTAAAAAAAATATTACCTCCAATTTGACTCTAATGTCAAACAGCATTTCCTAATATCAATCTTTTATATGCCTTCCTCAAGGGGGCATATTTAAAAAAATAATAATCTCATTTGCCCATGATCTGCATTTGTTTTGTTCCTCCAATTTACATGAGAGCTTCTTAAACTGGTCTGGCCTTTTGTTCTCTATACATAAGGAATTATCATGTGCTAGAAGTAACTGACTCAAAGTGTGCAGCACCACTACTGGAAGCCAGATCCTACTCTAACCAGCAACAATATCCTTAACATCCGAGCACAAATAGTCTCAAACCCTCACAGTCAAGCAAGTTGCAATAGCCTGGAACTGAAATTGAGGACTAGCTTTGACACTGCCTATTTTCAAATGTGTGGTTTGTTTTGAATGCCAATAACTCCACAGAGGAATGAAAAAAAAAAATCTAACAAATGGAATTAGTGTTCCCCACCATCTTGTCTTGAAAGCACAAACTGGGTGTTCTCCATGATCCTTATGGCTCAGGCAGCTGGTTGCTTCAGAGACACACAGGCAAAGCTTCCTGTTTCCTTTGGGGGTTGGCAAAGCATAGATGGGCAAGTTACATCAAACAGAAAAACAGGAAGTTGGAAAACCTCTAAGCAAGTCTCAGCTTCTTTGCTTCAAATTTAAAAAAAACAAAACCAAACAACAAAAACAGTCAAACAAAAAAACCCACATCAAACCTACCCCCACCACCCCACTCCCAACCAGTACAAATGCTCACAAAGTGCAAAATAAGTTGTGGTTTACTCAGAACCCAGGTCATCCAGCAACATTCATGTGCAAAAATAAATTGACAGCATCAGTCCCCATGCAGGAGCTTCCAACCCCAAGCATGCACAGGAGAAGCAAGGGTGGGCAAGGGGAGAGGACACAGATAAGCCACAGGACGTCACACCACCAGGGAACATGCAGTAGCGCATAGAGGGGCAAGGAGTTATCACCAGCAGTACAAACAGCACCCAGAAATGCCATGACTCTGAAAGACAGGAGAGCAGGTGACCCTCCAAGGGGTTAAGTCTGTCAGCCTGGGATCATGTCACAGCTCAAGTGGGTTTTCAATCCTGTTTTGGCTGCATTTGCCTGTTTAATCAAAATACAAGCTCACAGCCCTCTTTGAAAACCAATTTGTCCCAATGTTCCTTAGTTCCCCTTTTTTGCAGGTTCCAGGAGTCCTTGCCAGCACACCAAAGATCAACTTTTAGCTGCAGCATTGCTGACTTGCAAGACCTTCCTGCACTTGTGAGATGCTGCAGTGCAGTCTGGCACAGAAGGTTCCTGCTTTTGGAAAAACACTAGCTAGAAAACTGTCCTCCTAAATGTAAGGGCTGTCATGCTTACACCAGCTTTCTGTTGATTTTGGAGCCACTCTCCATTTAGCCAACTGGAAGAATCTCAGAATCAGGCCAGGCAGAACAGCTCTTAACAGCTACCTTCTCTTCAGCCCTCAACTTTAATAGTCAAGAAATAGTCAACTGCGTAACTCTTTTCATACAGGATCGCTGTACTTCTGTAACACAAACAGATGGGTTTTGCTGCCTCCTGTGTTCGTTAATAGTCCCATAATATTCTACCTATGCAGCTTTATCAACTGCACATACAAAAATTTCTTCACCATCTGGGGTGAAATGAAATAATTGTGACAGCACAGACAAACAGTTACACACAACAGTTCAGGACAGCAACAAACCAAGGCTACAGGACTGTTAAGCTAATTCAAGAGGTGTTAGCCCAAGTGGTCTTCCTTTCAAGAAGCCTTGCAGAACTTTTAGTGAGTTTAAAGGTTTTTGTCATCTGAAAGGCAACATCAGTCCACAACACAGCAGGCTGGGTATTACCTTACAATTAGCATCAGTCCTAAAGTAGCCTTTTCCAAATGCCTCCCCTAATAGCACATGCTCTTGTCCACATCAAGCAGTTAGGGCTATAACATGCAAGATAAATATTGCAAATTAATTATCTAATGTCCCTGAGCTGTTGCTACCTTATGCCACTAGAACCCATCCCTGGCAGTTACCTTCTACTTCTTCAGAGGGAGATACAGACAAGATTAAGCTTCTTACTACGTGTAGGCATTTGACTTTAAATATTACTAGAGCCTTCATTTTCCAGTAGCATTGCTAGATATCTTCATTCAGGAAGTTATTTCTCCTGTCTAGTCAACATCTGCCTCCCTGGGCTTTCCAGCTTTTATTACAGCCCCTAGTGTCCTACAATGTCACCAGTACTATCACCTTCCTCACAGGATATGTCTTGGTTGCATCACCATGTAACATCCTCACAGGGTCCTCTACCATGTCATGGATTAAAATCCACAGAGCAAGTGGGTACCCAGCCACTCTAATGATACGGTCCAATAAAGAAACTGGAATTCAACACCCTTGAGGTTTCCATGATCCTCCCTGCCCACCCAGAACAGACATCTCCAGCCAGATACAGGAAACAGTGTAAGCAATCAAACCCATCAAAACAAAAAGTCCACAAGACAGGCTGGAAAGGAGTTACTCTGCATTGCTACATCAGCCCCCACGATCTGGCAACAGCAGGACTCTGCAAGAAATAGGCTGGGAAGAGCTCAGGGCATATCAAAGATGTCTCCTTAACAAAGGTAGAGGTAAGCTCTGTATTCCTAAGCACAACCAGACCTCATTAGCTCAGCTCTTGCCTTCACTCTGAACTCATACCAATTCCAGTTTTCCCTTCCTTCCCAATTTAGGGGTATACATTGGTGAGTCTGGCTGTAACCCTGGAAGAAGGGAACTGTAATTTTCAAGTCTTAAAATAACCCACAAAACAGCCTTTTCCAACTCAGTTTCCAGAACATACTTCTGTTGTGCCACAGACATGTTTCTGGCCCCTCACTGGTGAGTTTAACACTAATTGCCACATCTGCCTTTTTTTTGGTTAAGGCGGCATGTGGTGCCCTCTCCTGGAGGAAACCAGCCTGGGAAGCAACTCTGCTCCTGCCCCAGCCTCTAAGCAGGGTCTGACACCCTCCATGTCACTCGGGGCTGTTTTCCTCTCCACCTGCTGCTGCCCTCTGCTAGCCTCAGGCTTCACCTCATACACAACATACAAGAGAAAGTATCCACCATTACCTCCCACTGAGCATAGTCCATGAAGCAAGAGATCAGCAGAGAATGATGCAAAGGGTATAATGCCTGGAAAAGCTTTTCCACAAGCCTTTTGGGACAGTAATCTTCTGTAGACCCTGACCAGCTTTTGCTGAACATCCTGCACCTCAGACTTATAACTGTATATGCTACTGCTCAACATAGCTCTCCAGACGAAATGAAACCTGCAGACCACTCATGCTGTGGGGATGTGAGGTCTTTTTCTGGCTCTTTATCTTTTTCTAGGTTATCTAAATTTAAGGGAATCCCAGAAAAAACCAGTAAGAAGTTCCAAATGTGCAGGCAGTGGCACAGCCAAATGGGCTTGCAAAGGGTTTGATCCACACTGAGGTGAATGTCACTGAGCCAGGCAGAGGAAAAGGGTATGTTAGAGTAATCCACCAGATCCCAGCTCACTTCTCAGCTAAAGAGCCCATCAGCTGACACCTACTTCTCTGGGTCTGTTTTCTAACTGCTCTTATACCTGCAGGTTGCTGCTCTCCTTTAGATGCATCTTTGTATCGATTTCCGCTCGCTAGGTTTGCTGGAGTTCCTGGGGGTGTGTGTGGAGCATGGAAGTGTGTGGGAAGGGAGTGGGCATTTACCTTTCTTTGTATTTTTTGTTTGTTTACCTTTTCGCTACACTTTCTGATGGTGGATGTGAGCTCACTCACTACCATATCCACACACTTCAGACTCGGCTCCTTCAACTTCTGCACCTGCTTTTTCACTATGGCTTCAAAAGCGAGGTCAGGCGTGAAGAGACCCGTTCTGCATGGCAGGGGCAGGGTGGGAGGAAGCAACGAGGAAGAAGAAAGCGAAGCAGAGAAAGAGTAGGAAGGAGAAGGAAAGAGAAGGAAGGAAAAGGGAAAAGAGAGAAAACACAAGGCAAAATGAGAAGTGAGATTTTGGTTCATTCCGTTAGTTTACTGAACCAGGTGAGCATTGCTATGGGGCCTGTGCACTGCCAAGTATCAGGAGAGTCTACAGGCAAATGGAAGTGGCAACGGGGAATGAGGTAGGAGCAGCTGTGCCAGTGAAATGGTGAGCTGCCAAGAGCAAGATGAATGGATGGAACCTCCCCAGGGATCAAGTGATCTCTTCCTGAAGGAAAGCTTCTTTGGATTTTAAGACAAAGCTGCTTGCCACAGTGAGCCACTGCCTCTCTTCCTAGAGGCTCACCATGTCCCACTTCACTTTGTCTCAGGCATTCCCCTTTTCTTCTCACCACAGTTAACTCCCCTTCATGCTTTTCCTATTGCAGCTGGAAGAAGCCTGACCAGGAGACATGCTAAGACTTGCAAAGGTCTGTCACTTGCATCTTATTCTGGCAGAACTGAGCCAAATTGATGTCTCAGTTTCAGGGATTCAAACTGTTCTGTATACGGAGCATATTTCATCTCACTGTCCTTCCCTGCAACATTAACTTCCTCAGTAAAAACAGATGTACCCAGTATTTAGGAAAATGCAAACATGCTACAGGGCATCCATAACTATACAAAGCATCTGTTCTGTCCCAGCTAACCTGTAGCATCAGAACCAGTAAAGGCCTCTTGAAGCTTATCAGTGGAAATTAACACTTCCTTATATTTAAGTGGTCTGTATTCTCAATGGCTTCACTAAGAGCAGAAAGTCCATAGAAACTAAAGTGACTAAAATATGACCAAGATTAATCCACTTCAAGACTACTGCACCCAAAGAAATTTTTCAGCACATCTTTTACACTTCAGAGCTTCCACCAGGATGCTCTTTGTTACACAACCCAAGTTACTTGTTTCAGCATGGGGCATTACCACTTTGCAAGTGTTTTCATGCGGACAATGTTCCCTTGACATGGGATAAGGATACTGCCTTCCTAAAGCTACAGCTCATAGTCAAACCTGGGGTGCCGACAGCTAACAACAAATCCAGGGCTAGCTATAATCACCACCTCAGTTAAAACAAATCTTTCCCCCTTCACCTCATCTTTCACACCTCTATGGATAACACCTGCAAGATCCCAAGCAGCATCAGTATTAAAACACTCTTCAACATGTATTATAGGACCTACCACTAGTCTGTCTTTTAAGGAGCAAAGAGTTGGAATATGTTACGGGACAGCTTCACCCAAGGGTCTCTCTCATGGTGCCAATAATGCCTCTCTTGAGCAAAGCAAGGGCATTTCCAGAGTTAAGTTCACATCCTCTGACTCAGCAGCAGTTTCCTACTAACCCAGATGCCCTGCTAAGCTCAGTATACACTGTTTCCTCCACCAGAATTGGAGGGCCCTGCACACACACAAAAATAATCAAAAAACATATCAGCCCCTTACAGTGCTCAAGTATCACCTGGATGACAACATGATGTTTCTTAAGATACAAAATTGTAACCATGGCTACTAGAGCACACACAGAACAACTAACACTGAAGGCAACCATCAAATTCTTCGCAGTAGGACCTAAGCTAAAATGGAATGCTTTACTCCTGACTGTGACATTTCAGCCTCCCTATGGTGTCTTCTCCTCCTTTATTCCCCACCTTGCTGTACTCACCACCTGATCACTTGAGGAACCTGCTGCTGTCAGAACAGATGGTCTATTCCAAAATTATCAGTAAAAGAGAAAACAAAAAGAAACAATGAAGAAATAGGAAATGGAGGAAAGGATGCAAAGAGAAAGAATGAAGGGGATATTTTGAATAGCAACTTATGGATGGAGAACAAATAAAGAGAAGCTTCAGAGGGCATGAAAAAGGAGGGCCCTTCTGATCCAGTTAGCAGGCGACTCTGGATACTTGGCAGCCTGAGGGCCTGTGCTTACCTGTCGCCAGGCTCTAATGGCAATTTTCTGGGTGCTCCCCACAGTCACACACCCCAAGAGAGGACAGCAGGACAGAAAAAGGAAGCTCCTCCAGCACTCTAGAAACCTGAGCAATCTCTTTGCTTTCCCAGTCTGTCCTGGGGGGGGCAAAGCATGTGCCTGCATGCCTGAGCCCTTCTATAGAGGCTCTTGGCCCTAAGGACTAGGCAATTCTGCAAGCGATGGCAAGTATCACCACTTGGGCACCTTTCCCCACCCTTGCAGAGACAGGGTGTCAGACTCTCCAGACACGTCCTGCAATGCCCATTTACCTGCACCAACCAGTGGTGATTCCAGTCTCCAGTACCTGTACCACCATCCTAACTGAGGTGTCTTTTCACCAGCACCTAGCCCTGCCTGAAGCAGCAAGCCATGGCTGAGAGGCATGGCACAAGTCCTCTTATCTTGTTGCCTTTCAACCTCAACCTCAGAAACAAAGGTTGCCACATTCAAAGGGCAGAATCGAGGCAGGTTCCCTCCCTCAGCCCCAACAAACACCAGTATGGATCCCAAAGGACAGAACCTGAAATCCTCTGAGAGAACAAGAGGACCCCAGAGGTTGATGGACATTTCTAACTTGCTTCTTCTCAGCCATGTGCTGCTCTTCCAGAACAGGAATGGACCAAGCCAACCAGAAACCAAGCCAAACAACACAGGAATATTTCCTTGCAGTACAGCCACAGCTGTAACTGCTGCAGCCTCTTAAGTTCAGCCCCATACACCCCTCCAGCAGCACCCAAAAGCTAACTTGGGATTAATCCTCTCACTTCTACAAGAACAGAGGGAACAAAATTTAAAGCCCAGTTTGGCTCATAAATAAATCCAGATATTAAATTTAAAGTCAAATGTGGCCATGTAAGAAATGCCCTTGGTTTTAGAAGAAATCAGGTGTCATGCTACAGACAGAGGGGTGCCAGGGACATCTCCAGCACCCCTCAGCTCTAAACATTTAGGGAACAGGGCCACAGCCCACACCCCACAGCACTTCCCCTCCTGTTTGGCTTGTTGGCTGGATCGCCCCAGGCTGGTACCGCTCAGGTCTAGTCATGCTGAGGAGGTGGTTAGAAACACCGAGTGTGGCTGCAGGCAAGTCCCTGCCCAAGTCACAGCGCTGTGCCGCAGCCAGCGAGCAGAGGAAAGTGCCAGCTCCATGCTGCCTCTGGTTACCTTCTTGGTGCACTGTCTAACGGTATTGATTAATTCCGAAATGACCATGTCCACGCATTTCAGGCAAGGTTCTTTAATCTTCTTCACCTGCTTTTTCACAATGGTCTCAAAGGCCATGTCGGGCGTGAAGAGACCGGTTCTAAACACCCAGGGTGGGGATAAGAGAAGGCAGGAGGGGGAGAAGGGGCAAGGAGAATGTCACAGCGTTACACACACATCTTGGAGCAGGCACCGCCATCACTGAAACCCGGCACACGGGGCTGGGGAGGTGTCACATCCCTCAGACACACCCTGACTGGAGTCCCTGGAAAATGGGGGACACTTGGCACCTCCAAGGAAGGAGATGCTGAGGGCAAAACGGATCCCAGCTGGACAGTCATGGCCAGGCCACCATTTTGCCTCAGTCACCATGCCTAAGGGTGGCAGGGGCTGACCCCTCCATGGCATATCTGACTTCAGAGTTGTACAGCAGATGGGAGGTCTTTTCTGAAAGACTTTCTTAATGATTCGGACACTTAATGTTTGATATCCTTTACCAAGCTCAGCTAGTGACTGAGCAAAAGTAAATAATGAAAATAAATCTAGGTCAGCATTTGTTGACATCCCAGTGTTCAGGGAGGGCTCAAACAGGCATCAGGCCCTGCTCACCTTCCTTCTCAGGAGCAGCATGCTCAGGGTCTCAGGGCTGTGCTTTCTGACAGCTAAGAGGCACCGAGGGAAACATGAGCATGTTTGATAACTATGTCCCGGGGCCATTGGGATCCTAGTGATGGGCACCCCAGTGCTCTCTCAGATCTCTAGGTGATATGCTCAGCACCAGCTGTTTGGAACAACTAACTTTTGGTTAGTATGGGGGCAAAAAATGAAAGCCAGTGTTTAAAACTAAATGAAGGAGTGGTATAGGCTTACATCTCTCTTTCAATCCATTCTTATGTCAAGATACAAGGAGGGAGAAAACACCTAGTCACCAAGGCAGCTTTACCTTTTAGGCTTCTGTGACTCACATGGGAAGAAAAAGCAAACTGACTTGGATGATTGTCCCTACTCCCAGATTCAAGCCACCAAGCTGTGGTCCAAGGAGGTTACCCCTCCCCTTTGGGTGACCTACCGTACCTCTGAAGTCTTCAACTCCATTCAGAAGGTCTAAAGGTATTTACAAGGTTATGCAGCCAATCGTCTGCCTAGTGCGTGATACGTGCCTGATACCATGGATGTTCTTGATGGCATAGCTAATCTCCCGTCGCAGCTCCTTCTCATCAAACTCCATCTGCACCAAGAGAGTTTTATAATCAGAAACAGTCTGACTTATTTGTGCAACCCTAGAATACACAACAGGATGCGCTACAGGTCCCATGCCAGCACTATCATGTGACAGACAAGATATTAGCCCAAGTGTTGGATACAGAGTCCAACCATAAAGCTTCTATTGCCAATACAGACATCCTGGACAAATCTGCACAGCTGAGGGCCTGCATTTACGGATGCCAAGCCCCAGCAGCTCTCAAGGAGCTTCTTAGAGATAAAGCAGTAATACTGAAGTACTAGATTGCTTTCTAAAACAAACTGCTGTTTCTCCCAAGATTTAGCACAAGGTCTTGGCAGCTGTTTTTTCAGTAAGCACCACCAAGAGATTTGCAATTCACATACAAGAATGTACTATCCGATACAAGGCAGGCTCTTGTATTTCACTAAAAAGGCCTCATCTTGTTCAAATTTGAAAAAGGAAGCAAAATGCAGAAAAAATCCAGGAGTGGAATGATTTGGCTCTCAAGACCGTTCCAACTGATATTAACAAGGTTTTTCTGTACCAGTTCTGATCAGGTTAGTGTGCTTTGCCATCCAAGAAAACTATAATTCAATAAAAATCCTCCTCAGCTGTTATGACAGTAGAACAGTTTCTACACTGTTCCCACCTCTAGGCCATTAATAGGGGCCAGACAGGAGTAACCCCAAGTATGTCTACATCCTCTTTCCTGCTTCTTGAGGACAAAATAAATATATAAAAAGGCAGTAAAAAAGGCAATAAAAGGAAAATCATAAAACAAAGGGAGAGACAGATGATGGAAGATACTGAGAAGAGTAAAGAAGAGGTAACAGACAACAGCCAAGACGATAAAGTGGATCTCAGCAGCACCTTAACCAGTTCAAATGGGAAACGTTCATGGAAGATGCGGTTAATCCTAGCTCCTCCTGACAGCTCATAGGTATCAATTTGGTCTCCAGAGCCTTCAATGCGTTTCTCAAAGTCCACAGCAAACTGCTGGACCATCCTGCAAATAAAAACAAAAAAGCATGAAGCAGAAGTTACAGCTGAGCAGTCATCTCCAGGGAGGGATGTGCAGTTGAGGTGACTTACTGAAGCAGAGCTTTGGTCTTGCGAGCTGGGTCATCAGGGCGAAAGTTCTTGTACTCCTCCACCTCCTTCTCAATAGAGAGAAGCTGACTTTGGAGCTTGTTGCGTAGCCCTGGCAGGGTATCACGGATGTGGTTGGTCAGTTGCTGCACAAGAAAAAGGTTTAGGATGATAATAAATCTCTAGGTAATTTCTGAGAAATTTTCCGTATCACAAAATAAAGATGAATCTTCCTGTGTTCAGTCCTTCTGAGTGATCCTAATAAAAAGTCTATCCCAGGACAGATACCAGTTACTATCTGGGTGTATCCTGCCTCCCCAACTCCTATGTATTACACCCCTCTATTCTTGACCTTAATTTTATCTTCTAGTCTGCTACAAAACTCTCATTCATACAAGCCTGCTGTCTCCAGCACAAGAATAAGATTCACATAAAAGTATTTGCATTTGCTATCTACACCAGGGTAAATGCTATTCTGTCTTCAGATTGGCCCATCACTGAAACCCAAGGTGGTGGTTAAGCCCTTTTTTAATGATAAGGGTGACAAGGCAAGGTGGAAGGAGCCAAAATCACAGATGAGGCTCTAATGGGATTTCCACAGAGTTCAGCTGTGGAAAACTCCAATTTGAGGATAAATGTTTAAATAAGGAGGAAAAAATACAAAGTAGTTCTTCGCTTTCAAGTGAGTATTTCAACGGAGCAGAGAGGGAAGCAACAGTAAGTTGCTACTGCATGAGACAGGAGATAAGACAGCCTTAATAGATGGGAAAACTACCACCAGTATCACATTTAATCAATCTTTGCAGCTTACCGTTAGGTACAGAGACCACTAGAAATTTAGAAGGTGTCTTTTAGCTTAACCAGAAAGACCTTGCATTCAGATAGTGTAAATGCCACGAAGCGACTATTGATTTTGCACCAGTGTTAGTGAGAGGATAAAGCAGTGCTCTGCCGTTGGTGTGCGAGCTCACTTTTTGGCCTTAATGTGTTTCACTGTATCAGTATTATACAGGGCAAGCACACTTCATAGGACCTGGCACCAAAATGTTTTTTTATGATGTGAAGAGTGCTTAACTCTTCCTTCTCTACAAGTCTCACTGCAACAGAACAATTTAAAGTATTTATCAGTTTGTTGACCCCAAGTTTTAGCTTTTCCTGATTTTATCCAACTCAGAAGAGTCCCGATGGCCAACACAGTGGGCAGCAGTTCTTGAATGTGGACAGTACCTGGTTCAACACTTTCTGCAGGTAGGGGGTTCCCATGCGATCAGCCATGTGTCTGTAAGCTGGGTGGGAGAGAAAGAATTTCCTCTCTGCAGCCAGAGCTGCTTGAATGTCCTTCTTGCCATCAATGTCCTTCTGACTTCTGTTGACTACACCAATGTAACCTGCAGGAGTGGGGTTAGAGATCAGATGGTTGCAAGGATGAAAACAAACAGGATTCAGACTGAAAAGGAAGTTACTCAACTGGCAGCATTGCAAAAGGGGAATTCTAGTGGCAACATATTATTAGGAACCAATTGGAAGAGTTTAACATTTGAATTTCCTCTGAATGGCACAGGTTCAGGTATTTTAGTATGCAGGACAAAAATGACTATGCAACTGAGTTAGCTTATTCATTACTGTTCCCTCAATTACAAAGCATACCCCTAGTCTCATTCATTTGAGACTATTGTGTTAAAGTCCTTTAGACAGGTACTTCACTATAGCTATACACAGCATGTATCACAGCCCAAAATTATTTCACCTGATATACTAAGGCAATCTCATCTAGGTAAGGTATGAAGGGAGCCTTTTAGACAGGAATTCCATTTTTGCAGCTTGCCTTATTAAAAGCAGTAAGGAAAGAAAAAGTAAATATAAGAGTGTATGGCTCTGCTTCTGTGAGGACTACATATCAAGATACAAATATCTAAAAAGTTACTATTAACAGTGTGACTCATCCATGTTCCCCAACTTTTCCTCAGTTCCAGCTTGGAACAGAGATGGCTTAACCTCAAGTTATAACAGATGTTGCAGGAAGGGGATGCACTGAAAGAAGGGAATGAGGTCAGGACATCTCATACAAGGAAGAGAAGGAGGAGATCACAGACAAAGCATGAGGAAATGTACCTCTACGAAGAGGAAGTAATTTATTTTCTAATACATCTCGTGCATCAGTTCCTTCATCCATAAGATCCAGCTTAGTGATGACTCCAATAGTGCGTTGCCCTATGAAAAAAACATACTTGATGAAGCAAACTCATGCAATATTTCCCTGCTTACAGATTGCCCTACTTGGCTACTCAAGGGCTCTTGAACTCAAACATTACAGTTCCCATCATGTCCAAGAGGCCATGAGAGCAAACAATCGAGCTCAGTTCTCAAGTATATCCTGCTAAAATGCACATGCTATGCCAGAACAGAAAGGGATTTTAGTGCTGATTTTTCTACTTTTTTCCAGGCAGACTAAAGGAAAGGAAATCCTACACCTCTTCAGAAATGGGGCTCAGACAAAGGAAGAAAAGGGGAATAACAAGAATTCTATTACAGCAGCTGTTAACACTCACTAACACCTCTCAGAAGAATGTGTGTTGGTGAAGATACAACCCAGACAACAGACAGGAGCCCACAGCTACTGGGCTTATCACAACCAAAAGGTAAAGTCAGGCCACTGTCTAGTAATGTCACACTAAATTAAGATATATTTACCTTGAGGATCCACCTCCTTTGCAACCTTCAGGGCATCAGAATTGGCCAAATCAGAGTTGGCTGGGGACACTGCCAGGATGAGGCAATTCTCTTTGGTGACAAACTGCATGAGCATATCTCGGATCTGAAACTCGATGTCAGGAGGCTGGTCCCCCACTGGGACTTTTGTCATCCCGGGTAGATCCACCAAGGTCAGGTTCAGGACTAGACATAGGAAACAGGAGATAGCACAAGGGGGTTTGAGGTAGGAATGTTTTGGTTTATAAGAAGTACCTGTAGCTTTAGTTTCCCAAATATATAATAGGCATAACAGACGCACAGAGAAGCACACAGAGCTTTCTAGCTCCTCTTTGTTACTGCTTAGTAAGAACTACTTGCTAGTTGATACTAGTCATGATTATCAGTGATCTCATTACCCTTCAAGTCACCTGTTTTCACAAGTTTGAGACCATGGTGCTCCCTTGTTTAAGCAGAGTTCTTCCAATGAAATCAGTGGCATACAACATAGGCATTATCCAGAGAACTCTACTAAGTATGTATTTACATGCAAACAGAAGGCAAGTGCTCTTCAAGAAAGCCACTCTCCCCATACACTTCTTTTGTTCCATTTATTTGCCGAGTAAAGCAGTATCAGAAAGCAGGGAGAGACAGCAGCTCTTCACTGTAAGGTCTGTACTGATGGAAGGAAAGCCTCAGGAACAAGTTTCTGCACATACACCAGTTGTGTCATGAAGGCGTTCAGCTAGCCAACAGATACTTCAGCTGGCAGACAAATCCATTTTAGCAGTATGGCTAAGGCTGGTGGTTTGATACAGCATGTCCCAGGCACAGAGATTAGCAAGCACACTGCCCCCTTTTCATGTTTTTTCTGTCTTTATTTAATGACAAAGCAGCAAGCTGCCTCACCAGTCTCCTGAGACAGATGCTGCAGTAGGACTCACCATGGGGAGAGTAGACTCGAAGATTGATGGGCACAGGGGAAATCCCTTTGTTGGAGCCAGTAACACGATCCGTTTCAGCCTCAATCTCCAAACGGACCTCCTCAAAATCAGTGAATTTCTTTCCCTTGCAGTGTAGGAACTCACCATATTCTAGTTCAAAAGAAGCAGAGTCAGAAATAGTCACTGAAATCAGAGAAACACTCAAATTGTAATGAAAACGTGTTCCGAAGCAAGACAACAAGGCACCTGAAGAGATGAAGTCTGGCAAGGACCTTTCCCACTAGAGTCTGACAGGTTGGCATAGAAGTTACAGCAGCCGCACTGTCTGATCAACATTAGAGAACTCAGTTGAGCCCACCTTCTCAATCCAGCTTTTGTCTCAGCAGAGGTGGCATCCTCACTTTCTTTGTTCAAGCAATGATCTAGGACTTTCTCTGTGGATACTGAGCAAACTTAGCATGCATCTGCCTCCAGCAGCAGTGACTTCCACAGCCACACCGGGTACCCTGGTACTCAAGAGAACTTGGACTAGTTCTGTATTAAAGTGCTGGAGATAACAGTCTCGTCACATAACGAGAACGGACTAAAGAGTGAAAAGAACCTCTCTTGACATGGTTTTGGATTGTCTGATAGCTGGGGGTTTTTTGAGTGTCAGTCCTTGAATAGGATAACCAATTCATGAACCCTCTGTTGCAATTTTAAAAAGCTCCTAAAAGTCAAACTGTCTCCTTACTGCAGACAAGAGGACTGCCACAGACAGACCAAGTTCACCTGACAAGAGAGGAAGAGTACCTCGAAATATTCACTTGCCAACTCCTGGATGAGATCTTAACTTATGTTAAGGGGAACAGTAATGAACATATCCTGCAAGTAGCAAACCCAGTGAACTACCCAAAAAATCCAGACACTGAAATTAAGTCTTTCTTCTCCAGATCCCAGTGTTCTGGGTTTTCAGTACATTAAATCATCTCACCCCCTTATTTCAGTAGATTATCAGCAGAGTCATCTGTCTTTTAGGTCTTACCCACTCATGAGAGTCACAGCTACACTGGCAAAGGAGAATTGTCATAAGTGTATGCATGCGGCCTTGCCTAATTAAAACAACAAAAAAAAAAACCCTAAGTATTTTGCTTCTGAACACTTAACGCATCAGATGTTAAGCAAGTAGAGCTGAAAACCAGCTGCAGGTCATTTTTACTGAGGAAAATTCTTATTTATTTTTTTCCACACTGAGCAGTGCCACTGCTGAAATAACTGAACACCTTTCTTGACAAAGACAGCGATCCAGCTGAACACACGGGGAAGGCAGCTCACGTACCTGTGCTGGCGTTGACCAGCTGCAGGACCAGCGGGCGTCTGGTTACGATGCCAGATCCACGTGGCAGAAAGTCCCTGAAATGAAACAGGAAGTTTCAGATGAGTGAATGATTGTTTCCTTCCCTTTTCACAGATTTACTGCTTCTATAAACATACATGGATTCTAACAGGGAGTCTCAGTCGCAGGCGCAAAAATGTTTAAGGCACTAAAAACCAAACTCTCTCAGAGTAAGAGCTTGTTATTCTGAAGAAGTCTATACTCGCAGTGCATCCCCTCTAATACTAGCTATAGCTCCTTCAGCTGAGGTTCCAAGCTAATAAAGAAGCCCATTTAATACAGCTATCTGTACTTTGGAAAAGATAACATCTTTCAGCAGAAAGAAAAGGGAAGTTGAAGCAGAAGAGCCCCAAAACTAGCATGCCTCCCTTTGACAAAACACAACTACGACAATGAGCTATAACAAAATCACTCACACCCTCCACTTTGGGGCTTGAGAAGACACCATGCTGTTTCAGCGTGCAAACACCATATGATACATTTAAAAGAATAAACAGCAGCCAAAGGCTTGCCTCCACCCAGTGTTTCCCCTGGCTAACTACTCAAGACATAAGTATTGCCAAGGCAAAAGCAGCAGCAGCTTCCTTCTATACTCACAAGAATCCTGAATTTTTGTGTACTTCACTGCAAAGGAAGGAAGCCTTTTTCTATCCTTCTCCAAACGCTGACTCAGCAGCCACAGCCCACAAATCCTTTGCTTTTTCATTTTCCAAATCCAAGTGCTTTGAGCAAAGCTAGGCATGCTCACTGCATCTGCCGATGACCTTGCTAGTTTGTGGCCTGGTTTTCAAGTACTCAGCTGTTCACGTGGTGCTCAAGAGCCACTGAGCATTTCTGAAAATATGACCGATTGCTTCCTTGCCTAGTGGGAGAAGCATCACTTCAGAACATGGCTCCTATAGCATGAATTTAGTTTCCTTTCTTAAAAGAAGTCCCACCTACATTGCTGGGATTCTGGCACATAACCGTCCCTCCCTCGATTGCTGTGGCAATGAATAATTTTGCTATTCCAGTAGTGACTAACTGCTCTGGTGAATGTGAAATCCAGGGCTCTCCACGTTGAGCATTTTGCTCATAGTCCTGCACGAGCTCAACGCTTCCTTTTGAATGGGCTTTTGTTTTAACACATCAGACAAGGACTTGAGCAGTTGTTTCAGCTCCTGGTTTGGCCATTGATTTCCTATGTAATCCTATGCAAGCTCTTCTCTGTATTTCCCTTTCCTCAGCTATAAAAGTAATTCTCCGTATGTGGGGATGCCAAAATAGCTTGATAATATTAAAAACTGCAGAGTAGTTTCAAGTGAAGGGAGGGTAAGGAGGCATCCTACAATCTCTAACACCTCAAAATTACCTCCTGTAAATTACTAAGTCTGGAGTAACGGAACCTCTGGAACAACTCTGCCAGTTAAAATAAGACCCATTCTCATTATTTCAGACTTCTCAGCAGTATGAAGAGTTAACCTGCGTTTGTCTTTCAAATAATACAGTTATATTTTTCCCATTCAAGTGGGATTAAACTTGGAATCTTTGAGGCATTGCATCATTCTAGCAGCTTTCTGCTGTCTCAACTCAACTTCTATAGACGTCTGTGGTCAATATGTGAAACAGTCTTACCCTAGCATCAGTTTTTAGCCTAACAAACCCAGCTGAGCTGCACTGACTTTCTCTGAGTTTACTGGACCTGAGAAAAAGGTATCCTATTATTATAGACTCCCTTTCTAGCACACTGGGAAAAGCATTTACTGTATGAAAAGCATCACTTGCATTTACTTTAGATTTATTAAAAAAAATAAAAATCACAATTTTTGAAGTATCACCCAATCGTATTCATTTTATTTCCTATTCTTCACTTCCTTTCTCTCTATGGTATCTTGGACAAACTCCTTCCTCCTGTTCCAGCTAAGCCTTTCAAATCAGACACTAAAAAGTACAGATTAGTAAATTCTCCACCAAGGCAGCTGGGCACCAAGGAGAAGGCAGTGTGTGGGAGTCTTGCCTGCCCTCTTGCAGTAGGCATAATAAATTGCTTCTGTAAATAAGCTACAACAACAGAGCATGTGTGGCATGGACAACATGCCCAGCACAGTTTTTGAGTCCACCTAGGAGTCAGGAGAAAGATTTACACATCCATACCCTCATTGCTCCAGAAAGAACAGCATACAAGTGATGAAATTAAGTCAGAATCAGGAAAGTGATACATGAGATAACCACCACACACCAGATGACTTGGGCAGACAAGTTAAACTGGCTTATTCCATTCCAGCACAAGAGATGTAGAGTAGCAAGGCTGAGGGAAGAAGTCGCAAGCTGAACTCAGTGTTGTGAGACAAATGCTGTACAGCTCAGTGCTGGAACAACGAGGGCAGCAGGGTTTCCACTTGCAAGGCAAGGCAGCCTCTAGCGTGGCATCAAAAGCAGCCTCATTACAAGACTTTGTGCCTGAAATATTATTCAATTAGGTTGAGGGCACCAACCCCCTGATTTCCTCCTTCACTTTGTATATTAAGAACTGAAAATCACTTATTTTGTTGCTTTGTTTGTAACATGCACAAGTGGCATAACAACATGTGATTTCCTAATCTTCTAAGCAGGAATACTACACTGTGCTACTTCTTCAGGCTAGGTTTCATCCAGAAAACACAGCAAAGTAGCAGCTAAAACAGACAGAGAAGCTGTGTATTCAGGGAGCATAAATATTTTATTTGCTTGTACCTCTTTTGCTTAGCTGTTGACTCAAAATTCCCTACCAAGATACAGAGGTACCAGTTCTAGCTATGCTATTTCAAACATTTTAGAGTTGGAAAAGCAGGCCCACATCAGCTACATTCCCCAGACTGTCAGTTATTGGAGGACTTATTTATACATTAACTACCATCATGGAGAGGTTACTGAGCTAGGTAAATTTTTGTCTGACCACTGATAGAGCTCCTTTTCTAAACCAAGACAACAAAAAGAACCAAGGATGCAAATTCTGATTGTCTCAGGTCGAAAAAGTTCAGGGAGAGAAGTGACCTGAAAAGGCATTTATTGTTATATTTTGCATCAGTCCCTTCTGAACTGCTTACACATGTTCTCAACTAGCTTCACAGCTACCTCAGGGCAAACCCAATCACATCATCCCTTCCAGTTTTATTTCTATTTTAGTAGGCAGAGCTGCATTAAAGTACAGATTTGGGCTGAAAGCTGCATTAGTAACACAACAGTAAAAAAAAATATTTGAGGGATGGAAAACAATCTAGCAGTTACTGTATGGCAGCATTCAAACAGAATCCAAACATGTCAGAAACATATTAAGGCAATCTTGATGTCATGCAACAGCACATTTATAATCAGGGAACTGGGGACTCGGGGGTTCCCTATTAGATTTTTAATTAAAGCCAGACACTCAATATGAAAAACCTCCAATGCATTAGGTACTTTGTAATCCTACAGAACAAAAGGTGCTGTTAATTGTGAAAAAAAGCATGTTTGCTCCACAAATTTCAGATTTCATTTAATGACTTGCACAGTACAGAGGATTAGAGGACAGATACCTATATGAAAAGTGTGGGACTTCCTGAAGGGGCACACATGGAAACTTTGACAAATTGCTTGTGTTTATCCATTGCTAATACTCTGAAGGAAATGTGACTGTTTCTATTAAAATAAGAGATACACATGAGCTGGTTTTCTGCAGCAAGGCCACAATTCTTTCTAAAGAATACAAATTTTGATAGTCAAAAAAATACTTATTTAATCCTTTGGTGATATAATTGATCTTAATCTCATGTTTTCCTGTTAAACAAGAGATAATAACTTGATCTTTGGAGGAGGAACTAGTCTTCCAGCATCTTGGTGATCATTACAAGCACACCGTGCCTGGTTCACCTGCCATGTTGGAATAAATGCTCTCAAACCTGATTAAAAAAAAGTGATTGCATGAGTAAGTCTGCCCTTTCGTGCTTTGCCAGCAGTGATTAGAGCTCACTGCTTTAGGTTTGTGCTCTAAGGCTTAGAGTCCCCTAACAGTGAGAGGGGCCTTTAATTGCAGCAATACAGCATTTGCAGGTAACCTGCCTACGATCCAGTAGCCATGATATTTAGTGGCAACCATAACTTCCTAGCAGTGAGGAAAGGTAACATGCTAATGGCATCCCTACATATGGGTCAGACCACAGCTGCTCCTCAATAGATACTCTTTCAGTGCAAGCAGAAGCACTGTGCATTCCCTCCATCCATCAAATTCAGGTGGAAAAGCACCTCTGCTGTCATCCTTTTCACTGCATATAGACGCTGTCTACTTCTTTGCACCTCACTGCTTTAATAAAAGCACTCCTGAGGTTTCTCAGAAGATTACGATGTAGTACTGACCAAGAAGTTTAATTTCAGCAATAAACACACCCATGAGAGGAGACTGCATTAATGCAGGTCTTCGGAGAGATACCCAACAGAAACACTTTAATTTTTGCTCTATGTTCTAGAAACCTTAACATGGCTGGATGAGAAGGCTCACTGCAATCCTTCCTGTGACACTACAAGTGCATTTTTATGAGGCCAGCTCTGAACTGTCGTGGTTTAGGGACAGTATGGCCACTAAATCCTGGACAGACGCTCTCTATTAACACCTCTCCTCTCCCCAGAAGGGAAGAGAAAAGAGAATAAGGGAGAGAGAATTTATGGGTTGGAAAATAAAACTAACAGATTTAATAAAACAATAATACTAATACTACAGAATATTGTAAATAGGAAAAGAATGAAATATATGCAGATATGTACAAATATATATACAAAACCAATATAAAATCTTCCCCCAAGGATGATTACGTCACCAGAGGCTCTGCAGAGCACAGCACTGGAAAAGTCCCAGTCTGGACTCAGCAGCAAAGAGAGCTGATGCAGGAACACACAAATCAGGATCAGAGGCAGACGAACCAGAAGACCCTGCTCGGACTTCAGCCATTGAAGGGGTTGAGACAGAAGGAAGGGTCGAAGGTGGAAGGGTCCAGACCCTCATGATCACTTGGCTTTACACTGAGAATGACAAATTTGGGATAGAATACCTAGTTGGTCAGTTTTGGGTCTGCTCCTTCCTGTAGGTGCAGATACAGCACCCATGGTGAG